AAAGGAAAGGCTCTGACCATGCAATTGCTTATTCTGGGTTTCACTTCTGAATTCTAGATTTGACTATATTTAGCAAAGCTATAACTGTCACCATGCCCGAAGCCAGGAAGAAGACACCATTCACAAACCACCCCCTGAAAATCTGCAGTTGCCACTGAAAAAACAGACTTCCCAGCAGGCAAAGGCATCTAAGTGGGAGGGATCAAATTGTTGTTTGCATCAAGAGAAGACCTCAGGTGCTTACAACTAACCTCTCTGCCCGGCACTAAAGCTCTCCATAACCTTATTTCCTTTTCTTTTCTCTCCAGCATACCTCTGCTCTGGTCAAACATCCTCATTACCTCCCCTGACAACTCCCTTCTGAAACAGTGGTCATCTCACTCCCCACCTGCTTCTTTGNTGGTCAAACATCCTCATTACCTCCCCTGACAACTCCCTTCTGAAACAGTGGTCATCTCACTCCCCACCTGCTTCTGCTTCAACCTCATGCTTTTCTTTGAACCTTCAGGACCACTCCTTCCCCAGACACTAGCCACTCCCTTGCCCCACAATTAGGCGAGGCCCAAAGGGGAGCAGTGCATACAGGATACCTACTCAATAGTTACTCAAAAGGCCCAGGGCCACTGAAGAAAGCAAGCAGCAAGCACAACCAGGGAATTGTAAAAAAAAATTTCCTTCTACCATTTCATGTTCTTCTCTCGTTGATTCTGAAGGGAAACCTGTACTAACGGAAATAACACTAGTCAGTATTCCCAGAACTCACACCGTTTCACTACTCCACACTTTTGCGTATGCTATTCTCTCTGCTTGCAAGACCTCAGGTAACCCTCATCTGGAACATATGCTGGGCAATTTCCATGTTCAAAGCACACTTCATCTATAAACGCTCACCCCCAGGCCATTTCTCTTTATCATCTCTTAACATCTTTTTACCACCTAATATCCACCATAGGCCATACTAAGTGCTGCACACTTATCTTAGGGTTATTTTTGGTCTATGAGCTCCTGAAGAGCTGGGCCAAGTTCCATTCATCATGTAGCTCTGGAACCTAATCGTGCCTCCCACAAAGAAGGCACTAACGAACGTGCACTAAATGAATACGTGTATGCCGTATACTGATACTGCCAACATGTTATAATTATATGTCATGTATGTATGTTTGATTTTTTTCAGGTGGTTTCACACACATTTTTAAACCTCACTCCCTTGTGCTATAGGTAGGAGAAATTGTCAGAGTTTACTGATTTGTAGATTTACTCAGTAGTTTTCATTAGCCCTAGACCTGGATTCTTTTAGTTTACGTAAGAAAGTGAAGGGCCACCTTGTCCACCTTATACAGAACTGAAGCAGTTCTGGAATGCTGTCTTGGACACAGCAGGTATTCAACAAACATTTATTTATGGTTTAAAGCTTACATATAAAGCCTCATAAAGCTAAGGAGGTCTGATAAAAGCACAGCTTCTCAGTCCTTCTTTAAGCACTGCTCCAGTTTTCCCATTGAGCTCATTCTGGAGGCTTAAACCAAATCTTCCCTTGACATCACATGCCCATTACATCAGGCATGATCTAGCATCTCATTGTGGCATCTTTGCTAAGGAAGCTAGAGAGAAAAATATCCTCCCCAGCACCCAGCCTAGACACAAACAAATCCCTCTGAACTCATGACTTAGAGCCTTTATTTCCCCAAGACAAACAAGCCCCCACTAGACTAGTTAGTGCAACTAGGCAAGCAGGGCTGATGCTGTTGATGGAGATGGCAGCCCAGACATTCTCCTGTCTTCCTCCAACACCTCCTCCTTGGAGTGCTTGCAATTCCTCACCATAAAGCACAGACCAGTACCCACCCACATCAGCGAATGGGATGTGGGATGTGGTGGTAACAAGGTCTGTGTTTGAAGCCGACCACACCACTCCTCCCTGAACTGCCTGGCCACGCCCTGGACACTTGATGCACAACTCTCATCAACCTCAGACAATTCTGGCTGGGGCTGGTGGCCAGGTCAGCATCTGACACCTCAAACAGAAAAGGGTCCAGAAAGGAGCATGGCTACCCAAAACATCTTTGTCGACCCTTTATGGAGCTGGTGAGACCTCTGCAAAGAACATATGGCTCTGTCCACCCACAATGGGGGGTAAAAAAAATCCCTGACGACTGCTGTAGCCAAATTAGCTTTCACATTGCCACCCTCACTCCCCTTTAACTATATATCTGATGTAATGTTGCTGGTAAATAGAGGCTATCATTTATTGAACACCTGAAAAAAAAAAGTTAAATAATTTACATACATTGCCTCATATAATCTTCAAGACCACTCCATAGGACAATGGTTATCAAACTTTAGCTTGCATAGGAATCACTCCAGGAACTTGTTAAAGACCTACACCCATGGTTTATGGAATGGGCCTGAAAATTTGCATTTCTTACAAGCTCCCAGGTAATGCTAATGTTCCTGATCCAGGCTCCACACTTTAAGAACTGGCCATAGGAAAACAGAGATTCAAGAGAGGTTTAAAATGTCTTATCTATGCTCTAGCTGGTGTGGCTCAGTGACTAGAGCATCAGCCCAAGCACCAAAGGGTCTCAGGTTCGATTCCCAGTTAAGGGCACACAACTGGGTTGCGGGTTCACTCCCCACCCCGTCATGGCGCATGCAGGAGGCAACCAGTCAATGTGTCTCTCATTATTGTTTTTTTTTCTCTCTCTCTTTCTCTTCCCATGCCTCCCTCCCACTCTCTCTGAAAAGCAATGGAAAAATTATCCTCGGGTGAGGATTTAAAAAAAAGTCTTATGGTGCTATACAAATACTTTGTATACCGGCTCCTACATAGCCACATAGGTCTAATAGTCACAAATTCAAACTTAATTCCAGTCAAAGAACATAAAGAGGGCAACACTGCCAGACGTGGTTTTACATGAGACTCTCTCTTATTACTCTGAGTCTTTGACCATGATGTCACCACACCTGGATAACTCCTACTCATTCTTCAGTCAGTTACTTCCTGCAGAAAGCAATTCTTGGCTTTCTAAAATTGGGGGCCACCCTAGGTTTATTTCCATGATAACATATATTACTCATTCTAACTGGCTAGTTTCCATCACTCAAAGTAGTTTGTAAACTCCAGCATCTAGTTCTATATCCTATCCCCAGAGCCTAGCACAGTGCCTGGCACATCACAGACACTCCTTAACTGTTTGCCAAATGAACGAATGAATGAATGAATGCAGAACTGCAAGCCCTAAGTCCCACTTAAAAATATACTGCATGATGTGCAGTTCTCAGGGATGAATTCTGGGGAAGAGGAGGGCAGCCTAGACAACAAAGACCAATTTTACCTTTTCTCTTTCCCATCACTCAGACTGAGAACAGGCACCCCTTATGGTAGCACCATCTACAGAGAGACAATATCCGAGCTGAACAAAATGCTCCTGGGTCAGCAGGGGCCATTCTGAGAGAAGGAAAGAGCTCTGCACCCCATGATTTCTTTCACACACTCCTCATCTCCATCCCACTGCAGTCAAGGACTTTGGCACAGGGATGAAAGAGACAGATCAGACTCAAGGGTGCAGATCTGGCAGCAGGCACAGAAGCATCTCCCATCCTGCACCAAAGCCCACAAGGAAAGATCCAGAGGGACAGTGACTCAGGCCCCAGATTAAGTCCAGCTAGAGCAGCACTGAAAATGGAAGAGAGCAACAATTTCACAACAACATTGTCAGACCTTTTTTTAAAACGGTGTTTTTAAAGTAAAGGCTTCAACCCTAACTCCAGAAAACTGGGCCCAGCTGAATCCACTGCTCAGATAAGCTGAGAGCCAAACACAGCTTCTTCTTCCTCCCAATCCACCCGCCTGCAACACTCACCATGACAGGCATTTCCCAGGCCCGGGGTTGGAACTCTTGCTTCAAGCTTAGCTTGCAAAAAGGCTCCTTCCCCAGTTATTAAACAGGTCCCCCCCCCACCACCATGTTGTAGTAATAGAGGCCTCCATCTACCCCTATCCCCTCTCAGCAGATAACACAACCTACAGCAGGTTGGCCCTATCCAATTAGTTTGAATAGCTTCACGCCAAAGAAATTACTGCTTTTATTAAAAATAAAATCACATTAGGCAGGCAATGGGCTGTAAAAGTATGAGTCTGGCATAATCATGAAGGTCGAGGTTAAGGTTACCAAAAGAGACATACAAAGATTTTTAGAGGCCTGGGGAATAAAGATATAGATTTAGGTATAAATAGGGAATTTACACAGCAAACATAGCAGATCTAAGTAACATCTCCAAGAGAGAAAAGCAAAAATCAGATGCCACTCTCAAGTAATTCTTTCAGCATTAAAATAATAATAAAAATTTTTTTAACTAAAACAGAAGGAAGAGGGGCCTACTGACTTATTTCAAAATAACCACATTCATTTCATGTAATTTCTGTTAAAACTAGCTACATCCTGGGGACCTGATTACAGTTGGGTTGGGAAACCTTGTCAAATCTACCAAGAGCCTTAGCTCTTAGAAAAACATATTCCCATCCTCCAAAAATCCTCTCTTCCTTCCAGTGCCTGCTCAGGGCAGTGGGAAAGTTGGGTAGAAGAAAAAGGAGAAACCCCTCTCTTCAGCCCCCACGTCAATGATTTCAAGTTTTAGTAGGATGACAAGCCCACCACCCTGCATCTAATGTGAAACTTGACACTTTCACACATAGGTTTTCTCCTCCGATCCTCATAATTCAGTGAGACACACAAGATTTGGTTTGTCGATTTTTCAAGAAATATACTAAAAGGCCACGGAGGTAAACAATGTCCGGCAACCTCCTCCTGCCCCATAAACCCTGCCACGTTCAAATCTCAGTTTTAAATTTCTCAAGGACAATGATTCACAGGGCAAGGGAATGGGGAAAAGGGAGGGTCGACTGGTTAAAACCCATTCATACATTCCACAACTAGAAACCAGAATCCTGCTGCATCAGCCCCAGGTTTTCATTTACGGCGCACTGAGTCCCACCGTACCTTCCGCCAACACCTCGTCCACAGTGACCTGCTGTCGCCCAATGCCAAAGACCCTTCCGATGTAGCCACTGCCCAGGCCCGAGGTGCTGCCCCCTCCTCCGCTGGAGCCGGAGCCCAGGCCAGAGCCGCCCTGCTCTCGCCGGGAGTCGAAAAACTTCTTCATCTTGCGAATAGGAAGCAGTAAAGCAAAACACCGACAGCTTCTAGATTTTTTTTTTTTTTTTAAAGAAAACAAGAGATCCAAGGATTTCTTCTCGGATTTCAGCTCAGAGAGGAGCCACCCGAATCCGGCCGTGGGGTGGGGGCTGAGGGAGGATGCCTATCGGAATACGCGTGTCAGTCGTGCGGCGGTCCCCTCCTCCTCAAAAGGGCGATTCGTATAAGTTTAAACCTGTGATGACAGAGGAAAAGAGAGAGGATGAGTCAGTAACACACTTAAAAATTCAACTGCTGAGTCCTAGGGGCAGCAAAAGCCATCATCCTGGGGAAACGCTGCATGAATTTTCTGAACGAGGAAAACCCTGGGGCTGAAAACGGGGCCCCGGCCCCCAAACCCGAGACCCTGTGCCCGGGGCTCGGAAAAAGGAGGAATTCGGGCCGCCTGCAGCAGCAGCGCCGACTCAGCCGGGCACTGCCCCCCCTTCTCCCCGGTCTCCCCGCCGCCCCGCGAGGCAGCATCCCGGCGGCACCCACTTGAGATGGCTCGACGGCGGGCGCCCAGCTACCAGCCCCGCAACATTGTCACGGCCGCCGGGCGGCCTGCGTCGGGGAAAGG